AAGGAGAGTGGGAAAAGGTAAATTTGCAGATAGGGAAGTAAGAAAAGACGTCGCTCAGAAAATGATACATAAACTGAGATGCAACTGAACAGAAGGATCTAGCCAACATCTGCATGAAGGAGAAATGCTGTGGTCGTCACATGTACCCAAGATCACAAGGCAAGAAGAACACGGAGGAAGCTCTTTAGAAATTGCTGGACTTTTCTGTGGCTGTAGCCCAGGCAGAAACTGTAGGAGGTTGGGTGGTTTTCAATGGGTGAGTCTGCAGAACAGACAGGACAAGGCCTTGGCCTTGAAAAGGGAAAAGTGTACAAGCAAATGGCTTAAACAGAGGTTGTGTGAAGTGGGGAAGCCAAGCTGGGGACAGGTACAGCCGATCGGGTGTGCCAGGCACAGGGTGATGGGAGGGGAGAATCGAGATGTCCTGTATGCACCTTTTTCTTCTAAGTATAATGCTTATGACACCTCTGAGGCTGTCTTCCCCTACATGTATCATACAATACGAGGTTGGGACAAAATGATAGGATTCACATTCTTCATTAAGAAGATCTCCTATCTCCTTAATTGAGAAGCAGAATTAGTAGTGGATGTGGAAACACAGACACAAAAGCAATAACTGAGGAGTGGAATCTACAAAAAGGGATCTTGTGAGGGGATAGTTACTCTCTCTGCCCCCAGAAATTGAAAAGTTTATTTGAAGTTAAAAAATAAACAGCTCTACAGACACTGAAAAGTGTGGATCTTGCATCAGGTTGAGAAAGGAGAAGGGATTTAAAGGAGCTGAGTATGTAACAAAGAGAAAACTTGCAGGTATGAGAGAAGAGAGTCAGTCAGGGCAGGTTAAGTTCCTCAAAGTGACCAAGGCAGAGATGTCTCTGAAGGGAAACTGAATACTGGGGAACCTTGAATTCACTTCTGGGTTTGGTCTTCATCTGCAAACAAAGATGAACACAAAGTGGGCTTTAGGAAGTCACCCTAGTGGGGTCAGATGGAAGGCAGGATTGTGATAGACAGACAGCAGGCATCTTCCATCCTCTAGTAGTCAACCTTACAATGCCAATCCTTGAGCAATCAGGATGATTCCAGAAGTCAGCATATGAATTCCCAGGGATGGTGAGCTGTGTTCCCATAGTAACCCAAGCACCGATGGAGAAAGACTATCATCATATCTTATAGCTGTATAAATACAAGTCAGGAATGAGCAAACATGGCTATTTTATTAGTCAATGCCTAATCTTGGGTTGGAAAAGCCTTCTGGCTGCTATTTTCTCCTACCATGCACATACTGTGGTTTGGCACTTTGGGATTTCCAAAATAAACCACTTTATAAACTTTTATCTGTAGGCTCAACCTGCTAACAGAGTCCCAGATTACAGATGATGAATGTGCATTTTTTTTGTGGCAGTCAAGTTCACATTCTTCAAAAATAAAATACTGCCACTTGTTAATAAGCTAAAATAAGCATCTACAGTTTCCTGAAATTTTTCAAAAGTGCATCAGCAATTATATTTGAATTATAAAGTCAGCTTAAATTCGAGGCCAGACTGAATTCCAAGGCTGATCCACAGAAGCACTTTCAAGTCCAAAGGCTGCAGCTGGCCAAGCAAGGAAAGCAGGGTTCTCTGTGAGGACAGATTGAGTAAGTTGTTGACAACGACCTTAGGATTGAGTATTGTTCTGAGATTAGTTTAAAGAGAAAAATAAAAGTTTCCTCAAACCCTGGATCATTTATTAACTGAGGGTAAGCCTGATACAGTTCCCAGCCCAGAAACAGAAGTTCAAATTCTGACACCCAGGGACATCCACTTCCAAGCGCAGCTCAGTTCCAACAACAGCGGATCTGAGGCAGGAACAAGATGAATTCCATTTTAACTACAGATTTCAGTGGAGATGATTTAGAAAAGGAAAGAAAACAACATTCTTAGGCAAGGAAACTGAAATCAATGCACCCATGATGACAGATTCAATTGGAGAAGGAAGAAAGTTCCTGGGTGTATCCACAACATTTCCCTTGGCTTACGATGATATTTGCAGGGAGAATCAATTTAATATCTACTCAGCTAGTGCTAGAACTACATTTGGGTTGCTTTACCCAGGAGAAATGTTAGATTTGTCTCACTGTGAGTGATCACCTGGCTCTACCTTGATCCACTACAAACGGGCCAGGAGAGGACTGTAAGTTCCATAAACTGGTTCTGTCTCACAGTGAGAGAGAAAACCACAGAGCAGTGATGGGAACACATTCAGGGTTGTTATTGTTATCAAAAGGAATCCAAAGTCTTCTTATTAATTGTGATTTATTACCTCCCTAATTAAAGCAGAATATTTGCTATTTGGAAACTTTGATTTGCTATTCCAGTCTTCGATGTGGAATGCTAACAAACTCTAACAGTGACCCATCAGAACAAATATAGATTTGAGCAACAAATATCCTCCACTCTCTGCTCTCGGACTATTTTATTTTATTTTATATTAGTATTCCTATTTTAATTTGCAGTTGTGGGGGTTGATCCCAGAACCTTTGCATTTGGCCACATCCTTAGCCCTTTTTCTGTATTTTATTTTGAGACAAGGTCTCTCTAAGCTGTTGGATTCACCAGGCTGAGCTTGAATTTGCAGTCCTTCTCACTTAGGTTCCCAGCCTACTAGGATTACAGCCATGTGTCCCTACCCCAGGCTTTATTTATATTAGTGTATTTTAATTGGTAAAAACAGGTTTTATGATGAAATTACAAGTAGTAACTAACTTCATTCTTCACAAAGGCCCGTGCAAACAATGTGACCAGCTGACAAATCCATTCTCTTGAAGGAAGTCAGAAAATTCTAACAAGTCTTAGTGCTTGCTTTGCTTCAGCTCTGGCTATTGTCCCTACCTTACTGAAGTTGTTAAAATCTCAAAGTCTGTCCAGAGATCAAGGCTCGCTAGATGCAGTAGTTTGTTCGTTTGTTTTTCTTTTCACAATTCTTTTCTTTTAATAAAAGTTTCTTTAACACAAGATTAATCCAGAGTATGTTAAAATGCACACAGCTGCTAGTGTTTTGTAAGTGGGCACACCTCTGTACAAACCTCTTCTGGTATTTGGCAGAAGTACTTTGATTCCCAAATGATGGGTTTGCTCCTGCTTGAATTAATTTTGGAGGTAACTGGGGCAACGTTTGGTGAAAGGCCTGTAAAATAGGTCACCTACTACAAGTGTAAGAAGAGAAGTTAGTCAAAGGGTAGCCAGGAGCAAGGACATATCACAATTCCAAGAGAAAAGGATTTAGTGATTGTTACACAAGGAAACTGTGTCCAAAGACCCTTTCAAAAGGCTGAAGAAAGAGGTCTTTGTTGGTGGGAGCGATTGAATCTGCCTCCCTTACCTTCTTTTACACATCACGTATCCTGTGACACACCGAGCACACCGTTTAGGGAGGTGAACGTCATGTGACACCGCTTAATAAACACAAAGACATGAGGTTGGTGTTCTGTTCCACTCCTGCCCTACTTGCTGTACCACACATCATGCCTCAAATGAGCCCTGTTCTGAGCTTGGCTAATGCCAGGCACAGGTGAATGAACTGAGTTCTGTCCTTAGGACCCACTTGGAATAGCATCAATTATTTTTCTTAAGCCAATCTGTTATTCCACCCTTACTTTTATTACCTGATTTCCCTGTTTCTCAGAAGACAGCTGAGCTTAGGAAATGGACATATTTTGACCTCTGTTCTATCATTCAGGGAAAAATCATTTCCAAAACATCATTTACAGTGGACCATACAAATGTCTGTTTATCAAAGATTATTTTTTAAAAAGGGTGTAATCTTCTTTTTGCAACTGACTTTAAAAAATATATGTATGTTGAACAACATGTATTGCTTGAGCTGGTTCTTATCTAGTTTTCAAGTTTATTATGGGTGATGATCAAGGGCATGTTCTTACCCTTTTAGGGGAGAAGTACAGTTACAGATTATGTGAATAATTCCTAAAAGTTAATATTTAGGCAAACTCTCATTACACACTCTTCAAATTACTGTTTTGTTCCATGTAACCCCTTCACATGCTCAGCACATTTAGCCTATGATTTTGATCAATTATTTTTACACTGTAAGAAACGCTAGTATAATTGTTGTACAGTTGATACAACTCAGGGACATGGAGCTGTAGGACCTGTCCAAGATCAGGCAGCAAACTGCATCAGAAACTCGTGGGATGTGTTTCTAAAGAGCTGACCAAGTCCAGTAAAATACAAAACATTTTCCTTTTAGGACATATTACAAACTTAGCCTCAGCAATGAAAAAAGGAAAAATATCAAATAATTTAGTTACAACTCTCATGATTAAACAATTCGCCACAGAAAAACACTTTGCCAGAGAATGTTTTAGCATCAACCAAGCAAAGCGGCAGTATGGCGTTTCTCAACTGGGAGAGGTTTTACCTTCTCCCCAGAGACAATTTGTCCCTGTCTGTAAGCATTTGTAGTGGTCACAGCTGGGGAGGGGGAAAGTTCTCCTGGCATGCAGTGGTCAGGAGCCAGGGACTCTGATAAATATCTTGCAGTGCAAAGGACTGGCCCCTTCAACAAAGAATTGTCTGGCCAAAATATCAAGGTGGCTGAGTCTGATAAACCCAGTGATGGTCTACTTCACTGATATGTTTGCCAAAAAATGTTTGAAAAATAAAATAATTTTTAAAACAAAGGTACTGTACAACTGAACTTTGAAGTATTTAGTGGAAGAATAAGTATTTATTAACCATTGGACCGTTACCTCATTGGAATCTAGAATATGTCATTTTGAGATTTTAAAAGCGACCTACTGTTGGTAGTGGTTCCCCAGGGAATACTTCCTGTGGGCCTATAATTTAGTGAAGATTCCAGAGTGAGAGTGACACAGGAAATACTTGCCCTGTGTCAGAAAATCTTGCTGTCATGATAAACTTCCTAAGAATGCAAGTTGTACGTCTTCCCAATGAGCCTGCATTTTCTAAGCTCTTTCTTTGGCCTTGTTTTAATTGCAGAGGTCTTGCAAACAATTCTGGGATAAGATGTGGCAGAACTTGAGCCTGATCATGGGACTCTTCTGATTCATCTCTTTCCGGTGCAGACTGAGAGCACTTACAAGAATGGGAGATAAAAGAAGGGCTTAGTCCCAAAGCCCTCTGAAAGTTTGGATTTTGTTAAGAAAGACAAAAAGGACATCAATTAAAGACTGCTATGGAGTATATTTCAAATGCTCATATTTTTGCTCCATTCCAGTAAAGGTTTCTCTCCAAAGAAATTTGGTCCCGAGGAAGAATAAAAGAATGGATGATATTTTATTGTCTCTTGGAGATGTTGGAAATACTTCACTCCTACATGTCTGGGGTTGTTTTCATCTTGCCAAGTACTTTGATATTTGTGAATATGGCTACATGGCTTGAAACAAGAGCAGTGATAACTCATACTAATTATTTAGCTTGTATTTTAATGCCTGACAAGAGAGAAAAGAACTTTTTCTTCCACGATTCTGGTTGTAAAAATTAAGAAGCTCAAGGGGAAGTGGAAGATCTGTGTTCTTAAAAAGTTTCCAACTCACAGATTTCTTGGATCTAAACCAATGAGAGCTTCCTGCAAATAGGGATCTCACCTCTGCTGACTTCTAGGCTCCGCAAAGCAGCTCAGATTGGGGGCTGCTGCATAAGTCCCACCACTCCCAAGCCTGTCTGCCAATGGACATCAGCAATGAGTCTGGATTAGAAAGAAGCTGATCTGCTCCTCCCCCATGCTCTTCTTTTCCATTCAAGATGAAAGTCTAACGTATCAGCACTCCCCTTGCTACATTCCGACAGAAGCAATCTAAATTAGAGTCAAGGAGTGTGATGTTAAATATCTGGAATCTCAGACAGACAAAATGTGATGTGCTAGAATATACATGGAACATAATGAAATGATCTGGAATACAGAATTAAACAATGAGGCTGGCTTAAGGGTAAGGACTAAATAACCACGGTGCTTTATTTGATGCACATGTTCCTTTGAAGTGGGTCCAAAATAACAACTCATTGCCTGATCCTCAGTTTGCACCTTGGCAGGTCCAAGTATCTTTTGAAAATGCGAAGGGAAGCCTAGAGAGAAAACAGTCTGATGAAGTCCATCTCAAAGGACAGCACAGAAGATCTTAGGAGATGTCAAAAACACTCTGGTTAGTACTCTTTCTCTGTAAGTGCAGCTACTCTGCCAAGCTGGTCATATTCAGCAGGATATTTATGATTATCCCACTCCCATAGCAGATTTTCTAGAGGGCTCCAGAATGATGATCTTCTTTGTGAAGGATTTAGATGTCAAGGTTAGGCCTTGGCAAAACTCAGTCATCAGCTTGAGACCTGCCTTTCCTCTTGCCAAGGGGGTTAAACCTCTTTTGGAGGGCTATAGGGGTGGCTCAGTGGTACAACATTTACCTGAGGTGTGTGAAGTCCTTGGTTCAATCTCCAGCAGTGCAAAAGCAAAACAAAAAGCAAACTTTTTCTCTGTCAGAAAATAAACCCCATATTGAAAGTATACTTTTCACCGATTGTCTTCAGAAGGGATATGTTTAACTTGGTGACCAATGGTTGATATTAAGTTTATTTTGACCTTCTCATGAGTTTGTGCCAAAATTCAGAGTATAGTATTATAGAATCTACAAAAGAATTATATTTTCTCAAAGAGAAAATGAGCAATATAGAATCCTCCTCCTTAAATCCTGTCCTTCACAGAAATACAAACTATATCATACTACAACATAAACACCTGTCACCAATTCCATTCACTGGGACAGAAGTCAGATGACAATATTAACAGATGTGTTTGTTGGCATTTGGCTTGTACTCTCTCAAACTTAGGTATTTTTTATGGGATCATTTCCTCCTTTTTTTCTAGAATGAGTTTCCTTCCTTAGTTAGCTTTGACAAAGCAGTGTTAAATATGGATTTTAGAACTGTATTAAAAATCCCAATTATATTAGCTCTTTCATTTTTCTCAACTTCAAAGCCATGCAGTATAGCACCTAAAGAGTAAAAGTATTTGAGGATGACTTGAGATTCATGATTTCTTTCTACATGGTTTATTCACAAATAATGAAAATTAAAAGAACAAAAAATAAGAATAAAGTTGAAGAAAATGTTGATAACCACATCCCTGATTAATTGCACGCCTTCAAAATTCAGTTCTGAAGGGAAAGAGATGTCAGCAGGATCCTCTAAGTGCCCAGCATCATTTCATCTCCACAATGAAGCTCCTACCTGTGAGGAACAAACATGGCAGAATAGGTCTTTTTCATCTGAAAGATGAAACTCTAGTTGCACACTGCTACTTCAAGAGTGGGATACACATGCCAAGACCAGGCAGTAGTCTTGGACTCTCTGCCTCCTTTTGAAATTTTCCCTAAGCCCTTTATGTATCTTCTGGGCCAGTCACCTAAATACTGATTCAGGATGTCTAGGATGGGGCCCGAGGCTCCACATCCTTGGTGAGTTCAGAGGTGATGCCAGAGCCACTGAACCAGGGTCTGTGCCTTTAGCAGCAAGGACTCTGTGAAAATCAATGAGCTGTGGTGACGTGAAAGAGGTTTAGAATAAGGGTCCAAGAGGACTGACCTCTATCAAAAATTAAACTTGGCTCCTCTAGAGAAATTCCTTCAGTGAATTGTGCAACCATTTGCAAAATGCTGCAGGGACTAGCTACCCTACTGCTTGTCTTTCCTTTCTTCACCACCAGGCGTGGGGGGGGGGTGGTCTCTGCCCAGACATAGGGCCACTAAAACTCACAGTTGTTTTGTTTGGACAGGCTGGTCTTGAAGTTTGAGCCTGCACAGAAAGGGCTTATCACCCACACCAGCCCTTCTGTGACAGCTGTTTTCTTTCCCAGCCCCAAGGCTCTGGTTAAAGGAAGGGGGAAAGGTTTACTGAGAGAGAAGCAGGGATATCAGCAAACTGGGGTAGATGCCTGATTTCCAGACTTGGAGGTTCACCTCCATCCCCCGTCCCAACATACCCAGATTCGATCCCTGCGCCAGAATAAGTATAGAATAACTAGTTGGATGAAGCTATCAGTTCTGTCCTAAAAGCTGGCGTAGATACATTCCTATAATAAAACTCGGAATTTCTATAAATTGCAAGCACTGGTTTCACGTCCTGCTGAGAAGTCTGCTTATGGACATATGCGTCCCCGATGGAACAACATATATCTCCCCAGCGTGAAGTTGGCCGTATGAAACCAGTGTGAGGTATATGAGTGCCACATCTAGGAGAACGGATAAAAATCAGGGTCGTTGTCAGCTGTATAAATTGACAGGAAGAGGAGCCTTCAGCGACTTCCTTTGGGGAAGGTCTGTCTTGTCCTGGTGAACTGCTCCCCCTGGTGGATCCAACGCTGCCATGTTTGCAAATCCGTTCTGTGAAGAGCAGCATGCTCCGGAGAGAGACCTGTGAGATTTCTGGTTTAAAGACAGATTCTCCAGAAAAAAAAAAGAAAAAAAAAAAAAAAAAAAAAACTAACTTCTGGGTGCCAAAAATATTTCGAACACTCCACTCAGCCTCTGGCTAATTCTGAGCGTGGCCCCTTCTGGGAATTGTGGAGTCTGGCTTCCCACACTGCCCTTGTCCCATGCACCCTCCATTATTATGATGGTTGTGAGGACGGTGGCTCTGTGCTGATTTGAGAGGGATGGAAAAACGCTTAAATTCTGCATTATATTTTATTTCCCTTTAAAAGTAATTCTGGACATTTTCAAGGGGAAAATGACCCACAGAGGAGGAACATTTTGTTTGAAATCATTTGTTTCTCTTACTTCCTGTCCTCTTCTGAGTCCTCTCTCTGAGGTGGTCGTGTCCACTGGGGATAATTTATGCTTAGGCCTCTTGTTCTACATATCTGCTCTCAAGATAAAGATAACTTCGATGATTTTCTGAGGAGAAAATTTCCCCCTTCGTTATATATTTGAGCGTGAATGTAAATTATTTATATTGTTGTTTTTGCTAGAAGTGTTTTCTGTGCGCCCTGCCATCTACTGAGATGGAGATTTTGCAGGTCAGGCAGCAATGAAAATCTATGGCGACTCTCCCGTTCTTTTGAAAATTGGGTGATGAGTCACACTGCAGCCTCAGTCCAAACAGTTTATACGCTAAATAAGGAGGTATTTTAAATATTTATTTAACAAGACATATTTTAAATAACCTACATATGTAAATAGAGCGTTCTTAGCCTGTACATTATTGCCAGGTTGGTGCTCATGTTCTGATATATAATTAATTACCAGTTTATTCCTCTGTAAACCGAAGCAGGGAATAATTCAAAGATGCCGGGTCACCGATGTCAGCAAAATTGTAATACCCTCTTGTTAGTGAGGTTGGTGACAGAGAAATTGAGCCTGTAAAATCTGTGACGGGGGTGCCAAAGTTCATCCGAAAGACAAGTCCTGATCCATATTTTCTTGCTCTCTCCAGACGGCTAGATGTTCCTTCTTTGTGCTATCTAGGTGAGCTCAGAATGCACATTTTCTAAGTTTAAAACAAACTCAGAAGCTGGGCACATTGTGATCTGTGCATTTGACAAGATAGTCACTGAAAATAGATACATATCTTGGAAATCTTAAGCATCACTGTTGCTTGTAGAAGCAGCAACAGCACAAATGCCAATCGTTTTAGCTCTCTCTTCACTGAAAATATCAATATTTTAATGCTTACGCAAAATCCAGGCATCCCTTTTTCACTTTTTTGACAGGAAAATAGAGACATAGATATGTCTTCTTTTCCATTTAAAATAGGTATATGTCTTTAAAATATTTCAGCTGAAAACTTCTAAAGAATAGTAGTTCTGGGTTTCAAACTGTTTATGGGTATAGAAAAATTCTAAAGAAAAAAGGCAAACCAAAAATGTGGCATCTTTGATGATGTGAAAGAAGTTCATTGTTAGTTTGGCTGAATGACATCACACGTATGTTTTGTTGAAACATAATGCACACAGTTTATTGACAACACAACTCCAAGTTTTAATTCCTACTAGTGTGAATCAGCTCATCAACTAAATTTTAGCCAGTAGGTTAGTGATATTACTTATCTTGGCTCATGGCCAAAATATCAGAAAAATTGAATGTGGAAAATCATTTGAAATAATTCATTCACACCACCACTATATAGCCATTCATTGGTCAGCTAAACCTTTTGCATTTACCCAATTGTTTGCCAAACTGACAAATGTACCCAATTTGACAACTTTTTTTTTTTTTTTTGAGTACCGGGAATCAAACTCACGACCTTGTGCGCTTGCCAGGCAGGTGCTGTGCCGCTGAGCTAAATCCCCAGCCCCCGAATTTGACAAATTCTATATTCAATCGGGGATGGACTCTTCGCTATTGTACATCATGAGGAGTGGTTACTGCTTTGGGGAAGTAGATAATGGCAACAACAACAAAAAATGTTTGACTCTTATGGTTGGGATGGTCACCAGAAGCGCTCTTAGATACAGAAACCATCTCTTCACTGATGGTATTGCTTCAGTGCTTAAAATAATTTACCCTTCTGTTGATATGAGAACAGGCCTAATAAGATGTAAAGTATTCAAGGCAGGTTTTGAACTGAGTTGTCTTGTGAGGTTACCTGAAGAGGAAAATTAAAGGTCAGCAGTGGCCAATCTGCCTGTCCTCCAAGTTCTCCCTGCAGTGTAGTCTCCTTATGAGGTGCTGGTTGAGGGAATGATTTCCATACACATAAAAATGGCTCAAGGGACTGATTTTTAGGGACTTCAAATAAGTTTGTACATCTGCCATAAGTAAAACATTAATTTTTTATGAAATATCAATTATTTTGGAGCCTGCTTATTGGTAAAAAAAAAATAATTTTGCTCTAAAGAGAAAAAGATGCAGATGTTGTCTTCTTGTGGAGTATTTTGATGATTGATGCCTCTGATTGGAGAAATGTTTGTTTATTTATTTATTTATTTATTTATTTAGGTATCAGGAATTGAACTCAGGACCTTGCACCTGCCAGGCAGGCACTTGTGCCACTGAGCTACATTCCTGGCCCTGGAATGTTCTTTTAAAAAGTCTTTCACAACTTGAAATGTTCACTATTTCCTTCTTCTATGCACAGCAAAATACTGGAAGTTGACATGAAATATGCTAAAGAAGACCCTGAAGTGTGCAAAGAAGAAAGCAGTCTGACCAGGAAACTACGGCTTAAGAACAACACCTGAGAAGCTTCCTCTTTGCCTCCTACATCTCAGACCTAGAGTTCCGAACCAAGGATCCAAAAATAATAATGGGCTCAAACAAGAAAGTCCACAACAAAAGCTTGTACACTCTCTCTCTCTCTTTTCTCTCTCTCTCTCACTCTCTCCACCCCCTTCCTCTCTCCCTCTCTCCAAAAGACCTGGAAAGGCGCAACCAAACAACACAGGAAAATGCTTAGACAATAACTTTCAACAAAACACCACAAAACTGAGTTAATGGTGCCAAATGACACTGAGAGAGAGCCAGGATTCTCATCCCTGCAGATATTCAAGCAAACCTCCCCAAACTTGGGGAATCAACGAAGGCCATTTGGGGAGCAATAAAAAGACATCCATGCCCCTCTCATAGAGGGAAGTGTCATTGAAAGTCTGACTTCTATTTCCACCTAGCAGTACAGTAAGCTTGTGTCACCACTTCTCTGCCAGCAGGAGACCACCTAAACAGGAGGGCGAAGTAAGTCCACAGTCTCTCAGTACAGTATCCAAGTACCTAGATTTCAAGAGCAAATCACTCATCATTGCAAGAACAAGAGAAAGCTCAAATTCACTCTAACAGGACAGCAAACATGTTCTGCAATCTATATGACACAAATGTGAAGGTTGTCCTTCAAAGACTTGACAGCAGCCATCATAGAAATCCTCCAAAGAGAAATTACAAACATTAGTGAAACTGTTGGAACAGAACACTTCTGCAAAGACACAGGATGTCACCACAAAAGATGGGTATACAACCGAAGATGTAGCTCAGCAGGTGCAGGGCCTGCCTGGCAAGTGTGAGGCCCTGAGTTCGATTCCTGGTACCAAAAAAAAAAAAAAATAGATATATAGAGATGAGTCAAATGGATTAAAAATGCAATAACCAACTAAAAAGCCAAGGCCTGGGTTCTACAAAATAATGGAAACACAAAGAAAAAGTATCCATGGACCAAAAGACAGCAATAGAAATTGCTTATCATGAGAGAAACTATAGACAAGAAAAAAATGAACTTAGCTCAATGACCTGTATAATTATATATATATATAGAAAAGATGTAACAGTTACACTGCCAAAGTCCTAGTGAGAAAGAAGGCAAACTTGAAAACAGGTGCCTTAACAAATTACAGCTGAAGTTTCCCTATATTTAATAAAAGATATCAATCAGATTTCAGAAACATGGTGAACCTCAAACAGGATAAATTCAACAGCTATCCATACTAAAAGATTCCCTAGTCAAACTTTTGAGAACTAAAGATGGAAACAGAAACTCAACTCAGATATCCTTTGAAGATGAACTGGTCAAGAAGACCATGATATCTTATGCATATATCAATAAAAGAAAACCTTGCATTAGTTATACGTGTAACACTGAAACGATCAGGGCTAGTCATCAGAGAATGATGGAGAATGACAAAAGCTATAGTGTATGGTTCCATTTATATAACATTATTGAAGTGACAACATTATAGAAAACAACTTAGGGCTAAGAAGGGGTAAGAATGAGGGAACTGGCCATGGCTATGAGGACAACATGAAGAACTTTGTAGGAACGGAAAAAATAACCCTTTATCTTGACTGTATCAGTTTCAGTATCTGATATATTATGCTATGGTTTTACAAGTTGTTAGCACTGAGAGAAACAGGTAAAGGATTACTCTACCTTATTTCCTACCATGTGATGGAAATCTACAATTATGTCAAAATAAAAGTTAATTAAGGCAAAGTTCTGCAAGCCTTATATCTAATGGTTACATTACTCTGGACAGAGAATCAAAGCATTTTGACAGTGTCACTTGAATCTTATGCAACCTTGGACAAACATTCGGACCCTCTAAACCTACTTCATTGCCAGTAAAATGAGCATGACTACATCAACTCTACTTATTTCTCCAGGGTATCCAGGGTAAGATGAAAATGACCATGAAGGTGCTTCTTAACCCCTTATGTACCAAAAGAAATAGAATGAAATGTGGGTAAATACTGTATGCAAGGCTCTAATCTAAAGTGTGCACCCTCCTTTCTATCTACATGGTCTGATTGTATGTGAACTTGAGTGATACGGCATGTGACATTTAGAGGAGGCCCACTAAAGAGAAATCCCCATCTTTCATCAGATCTTTCTCAGGTATTCAGGAGTTCCCGAACTCAACAGTCTCAAGGTCTACAGTAACTCTTACCAAATCCCTGACCTTCAATACTCTGAAATTTCTGATAGCCTTTCATTCTCCTTTCCTTGAACATGCTAAGCCATCTCAGACCTTCCTTTCCTTTCCACTTAGTTAACTTTTTTGTTGCTGAGACAAAATACACAACACCCAAAGTTAAAGGAGAAAAGGTTTATTTCAGGTCACAGTTGGAAGACGTCTCAGCCCATAGTTGGCTGCTCCAAGGCAGGACAGCATGCAGATGGGTGACAGAGAGGAGACTCAGTGCCTGGTAAGCAGAAGTCATCAAAGCAGCAAAGTAGCAAAGAACAAGCAAATGGCCCCAGCCACCCTCTTTTTGTCTCTTATATTCTACCCAAGCTACCTGCCCTTAGGGGAAGTAGCGCTCACAGCCAGTTTAGGGCCCCTTAATCCCAGAGTCACACCATGGATCAATCCCAGCATCATACCCTTAATTCCAACATTACACAACCCAGATCCACCCACCTCTGAAAAACACCTACCTACAACCACATGAGGTTTTCAGGGGGACACCTAGACACAAGCCATAACATTTTGTTTCAGGAGAAGGAGCTGCCACCACCACCCAGTTTCCTTCTGTGCAGTTCATTCTTTGCATCAATCACCTGTTTTATGGCAAGGAACCCATACACAGGTCTTGCTACTTTTTCTCTTTATGACTTCTCCCTAATACTGTGCCCCTAAGCCTGGGAGGATGAAAGGTTTCACACCTGATACAGAAAAGACTATATATAACCCTTCTTATATATAAATACAGTGGTACCTCAGTTCATGAATTTAATTCTTTCCATGATTCTGGTTGCAAACCAAGTTGGATAAGAACCAAATCAAATTTCCCCATAAGACCAACAGTGAATCTAACCATTGAATTTGATTCAGTTATTGTGTAATTGGGTTTGTCCCCAGAATCATGGAAAAATTAAGTTTGAGAACCAAGGTATCACTGTATATATTCTATATTAATATATGCATATTGTAGTATTTATGTTATATGAATATATATGATATCATTTATACTCACTGTCTTGGTTACTTGCCTCTTACTGCTGAGACAAAATACCTGATGCACATATTGAGGAAGGAAAGGTTTATTTAGCTCACAGTTTGTGGAGGTTTCAGTCCTCATTCAGCTGGCTCCAAGACAGAGTGGCACATGGCAGAGGGCAACAGTTCATGGAGGCAGACAGCAGAAAGCAACAAGAGTACAAGGGCAGGAGCAGAGGCAAGCAGCCTCTTTCCCTCCCTTACATTATACGCCAAGTACCTCCTCCAGGGCTGCTGTAGCACTCATACCTATGAATCAATCATAAAGTCTAGAAAATCACTCCATGACTGCATGAGGCTTTGGGGGACAGCCAGACGCAAAGCATAACACTTACCACTTTACAACTGACAAAATGTTATCAAGTAATCTACTGAGGATATACACATCTATCAATTTAGAATACTTAGGAAGTACTTAATTTTTGAGAGAATGAAAACTCCCATCTCCTTTTTTTGTGGTACTAGAGATCAAATCCAGGGGTGGCCTGCCACTTAGCTATATCCTCAGCCCTTTTGTGATTAAGTAATTAATTAATTTATTTATTTTTGAGGCAGGTTCTTGCTATGTTGCCCAGCTGAGACTCAGATTTACAATGCTCCTGCCTGGAATGCTCTCCATCTTATGTGGAACTTTTCTGTTGTTGGAACTTTGGCAGGAAATATCATTACTAAAAATCCATCTTTTGTTTATTTATTTTTTAATCATGCATTTATTCATTTCATCACTCATTCAACAGTAACTTAACACCCACTAACTGCAAGAATATGTTCTAGACCTTAGGAATGTGAAATAAATTTTAAAAAGTCCAGAGTGATACACTTGGAAACAGTAATGATGGGAATGTGGTTCATGGGACAGGCACATACAACAGTATCATAGGAACCCGGAGAGTAGAGCTGGGGAGCCTTCAGAGTAACTGGCGAGGGTAGCAAACTCAGGCAGTTGTAAGGGCCAGGCCATCTCATTTTGAAGAGTATGAGGGACTTTTCTACCCAACTCCACCTGTGTACTTTATAAATACATGGAAATAGGCCTTCTTTATACTTATGCAGTCTAAGGATGGGGCAGATTTTGCATAATAATCCATGCAGTTCACCTTCAGCATTTTGCTCCACTTGTTACCATCTCCCACAAAGCCTTCTGAGCCCATAGCCACTCACTTCTCCTCATGCCACATGACCTGCCTCCCTGCTTAATCCCCTTCCTCCTCTTTTGTCCCCTATAGTCTTCTCTTCAATCAGGAATCAGAGAGATGCTGATTTTTTCAGTAAGATCATATACCTTCCGCTCTCAGTAAATCAGGATTGAAGCAAAAGCCTTACATTGGTTTAAAACCACAATGTTTTGCTGAATATTAGAATATTTTCAAGAATGTTTTGTTTGTACATGTGTTTCAAACGTCCACAGCTAACCCCATTCTGGATACATTCAGTCTCTCAGAATTCCAGGAGATCTCAGGTGGTTCCCAGGATATGGAATTCTCACAGTTCTGCTGGCTTCAGTCCACCCCTTTGTTACCTCTGCAGAAGAATTTGATGATACTGTTCTCAGGTGTTGCATTTGCATCTGCTTTCTCACACCTCTACCTTTGTGCATAGTTCCCTTCACCATCCACACCTATATTTGATAGTTTCCTGTGCTTGTATTCCATCATCCTCCGCCAGAGGACACTCCCTGGACTTCACTGTTCCTTGTTTATTTCTTCATCCTTATTGCCCACAAAGTTGTGCAGCACCAAGGAGACGTTAAATGCATCTTAAAACAAAATGAGTGGACTGTAGTGACTTGAAGGAGAGTTTTGGAAAAAAGAAAAATGAAGACCCAAGATGTTTTCCTTAAGATGAGACACCTTAACCATTTTAAACAGTAGAGTTTATCAGCTGATTTATAGTTTTAAAAAACATTCTTGCTTGATTTGGGGAGCTTTATTATTTCAAATATGAGTTATGGGGATTTCAAATAAAAACACCTGTAAGTATGTTCTTGTCATCCCAATGAGAAGAACCTGAAAGAAGATATGGTACATTTCAACACCACAGGAGGGACGGAAGTAGAAACTGAGCATCGTGTGGACTTGTTTTGTCTTATTTAGTAACAGACAGCTGTAAAGAGTAAACGGTCACTTGTACTCAAGCTGTGACAATTCACTGCTTCTCTCTCACAAAACAGAGAACACAATCTCACCTGTGCCTTTGAAGTTCTCTCTCTATTCTGATTAAAGAAATACAAGTTCAAGCAGGCTTAAAAATACAAAGGCCAAACATTTCCAGAAACCAAACATAGATTGGCTGTAGCCAATCTGTCTCCCTTCAATTTTAGTGCCTGAGTCCCTATATGTGGCCTGGAGTCTCTTTATTTATAACCTCCACTCATGGACCATCCTGCACATTCACTTTCCCCACCTCAAAAAGTGTTCTATAACATCTGCTCTAAATCTCTTCTAATTACCATTTATGCTCTATTGTCTGTAATCTGTTCAAAGCTAAAAATAGAACTGAGGTATAATCTCAACACAACCTCAAGTGCTTAATTTTATTATTATTTTTTGTCCAACAGAACAAATCCATAATAATGAACAAAAGCTTTATTTTTAAAAGAACCCCTGAAATAAACCTTTCCCCCTGCTCTAGCTGCACTTCCTAACCCAATATTAAGCAGAGCCTCTCTCTATTCATTCTTTCAGCCTGATATTACTTTGCTTAAAGAAGTAAATCTAATTAAAAGATCACAGGAAATGGAAGCTGTTTTGCAAGTTGGAGAAGCTGCCTCTGTGTATTTTTCACCACTGATTGGGCTCACAAGATGGAAAATTTCGTAGACTGCTAGGCAAAGTGCTCTCAATGTTGCTAGAACATCTGCTTTTCTCTGTGTAAAATCCCTTCCATGCAGTGATTGAAGATTTTTATTCTAATTGAATTTGTAGTTAATTCCAGATAAAGAAGAGATTCTTTTTGCTGATGCTGCTTAAATCAAGGACCCCCAAACCCACTGCTCAAAACTCTTCCTCAAAATTAATCAGAAGAAACGGGTTGTTTGTAGCCAGTGAGCCTCCATATTTTTTTTCTATTTTTAAGACCTTAGGGAAATTTCAGAGGCTCTTGAATCTTGATTTGGACTTTCAAACTGTTTGACAGAGACTGAGGGGCAGCCCCGCCCCTGTTTCCTAAATGTAGTATTTCTAACCCAATAGGCAAAGGTGGAGTCAGTCTTTAGTTTAAATATGGCTTACTGCCCTCCTTGTGAATGTTGATCTGATGTTAGCTGATCATAACAAATATATTTATGATACTAAATAATTTCAAGGCACTTAAAGAGTTAAATCTTCTAATGTTTGCTGCAATATTTGCTAAGCACATTAATAAGGAGAGAAACCAAGAAAAGAATGTAGTATAAACCAAAGAATCTCCCAGTGCTTTTGACATTGCACTTACTTGACAGCTTTTTGCCCGTAACTGTGGCCATATCAGTCAGCTTTCCATTGCTGGGACAAAATACCCAACGATGACACCTTAAAGGAGGAGTGATTCTATTGGGCTTGTGGTTTGTGGAGATTCAGTTCATGGGCAGGTATAGCAGAGGATAGCTGTTCAATCATGGCACCTAGGAAGGAGGGACAAAGACATAAGCGGAAAGGGAGGTACACCTTCCAAAGACACGTCCCAGTGATCCACCTCTTCCAACAATGCTGCATCTCCTCACAGCACATCTAGTTTTACATTCATCAATGGATCAATCTACTAATGAGCATACCAGCCCCATGATCCAGTCACCTTTTCCAAGTACCAGGTCTGGACACATAAGACTCTTGGGGGATGTTCTAGATCTAGCCCAGAAAAGTGAACTTGTGGAAACTGCAGTCTCCATGAGTTCATACCTTGGTGTTATAAAGTAAGAGGAATCTAATGAAGTTATAATTCATTTCTTTTCCACTCAACCTTCATAAGTGAATGAACCCTCCTCTCCTTGCACTGTTACAAAATTTTATTAGGGACTGTAAAATGCAGTTAACATTGGAACCTTGAACTAGAAGTCAAAATAAGAAATAAATTTACAACTTATCAGGAGCAGGGATCTTTCTCTGTCTCCTTTC